TATAACTTATTCGATTCGATAAATATCTGAATTTGATCAATTATTTAATTCTTATATATAATATATCAAATATTTAATTGTTTTATATAATTTATATATAATAATTAAATTATATAAATAATTTATATAAAAATATTTATTAATTACCTAAAATAACTAATTGATCGAATTCGAATCAAACTGAATTGAATCGAATATTTGAATATTTAATCAAATTCGAATATTAATTTTTAATATCCATTGAATATCAAATTGAATTCGGATACAATCAAAGTAAACTTTGATCAAGTGGCACCTACTGAGCCCAGAAGTGATCAAAGTAAACTTTTCTTTTGGTAATACAATCAAAGTAAACTTTGATGCATTTAGAAGATAGGATGAAAATTGTACTTATGGATGCATTGCCAAAAACTATAAGGGGAGCAGGTCCTAGCAATCCGAATGGGTACAAGTGGAAAAACTTATAATGTCTGCCGAAATGAGGTCTGGGCTTGAAGCCCATAAGCTTTCCAAAGTGCTTGGTTTTAGCAGGTATATTATTGAAGGTGACTCGAAATCTATCATTGATGTTCTCGAAGCATCAGCAATAATGTCTACGTGGAGGTGCGGCGTAATGAAAGAATAGTGCTTGAAGATTGTTCGAGAAAACACCATCAACAACACTTATAATCACACTCAAGGTTTTTAAAACTGACCCGGAGAATGAACCGGTCAGGGTCCGGTTCTCAAGTTGAATGGTCCGATTTTAAACCGAACAGTCGGCCCGTTCTGACAAAAAATAAAAAACAGTCAAAATCGTTCGAACAGTTCAAATAATTAACTGTACGGGTTCAACAGTTTGCTGATTAAAATCAATGGTTTTTGAGAAAATTCCAGTTTTGAGGAAAAATAGAACCAATCACCTGATCGGTTCCCAAATTTTCCGGTCCGACCGTCCAATCCAGTCTGGTTTTGAAAACCATGACACCATGATCACACTGATGGAGAAAGAAATCGAGTAGCTGACTAATGAAGCGTTCTCTGCAGCTGAAGTCAAGAGCTCTTCTTTGGGCATCCTAGAGGCTAGGTGTTTTGCAATGTAGACCTAGTTAACTAGTGGGTTAGAGACAAGATAAACATAAGGCTTACTGACACATAACATGGAGAGCTTCCCTTTCCATAGTTTAAACTTGTGCCTTCCTCAATATTGGGATGCCTTACGAGTTAATACTAATTTGACATGAGTGAATTGATGATATCAGTAACAAAAGCTAGAGAAGTCTTCCCCAAGAGTCAGTGAATAATATTAATCTATTTGACACCAAACCAGAGCAAATTGAAGACCAGTCCGTGATTTTGAATGTATGACATTCTTCAACCAAGATGGGTTTGCTTAAACGTGTAGGAGAGATAGATCATCTGCATTTCTTTCACTTAAACCAAGATGGGTTTGCTATTTTGAATCTATGACATTCTTCAACCTTTTCCAAAGGTTTCAATATCAAGTAATGGTTGTCAATGTCATAAACATATATAATATATGCATTTTCTTAAATGTTCTACTTTTATCCAATTCTCTAAATTAACCTTGGTCAGTTAAAATTTAACATTCAATTGAAAATCTTTTAGGGCGAATTCATTCACATCCAGCAAAAGCCAAAATTTCCCAAGAATTTGTGAAATTTTAGCAAATTTTAAAACTATGGTCTAGGTCTAGATGAAATCTCCTTCTTCTTCTCACCCTTCAACCATGAAAAAGACCAAGAAGCCTTGCCACGTGCTTAAAATAATTGTTGGTTTCTAGGCAAAAAAAAAAAAAGAAAAGAAAAAGGAAATTTGGAAGGTTATTGTTATTGAGCTAAAGCTCAGTGGGTACTAGGTAGGGATGATAATGGACCAGGTTGGGCTTTGGGCTTATGACATTTATCCTCCCCAGATATTTGATAAGATGAACTGGGCTGGGTTTGAGGCCAGGTACAACAACGATGGAGAGTATATGATTCCACTGAGTAATCAGCAGAGTGCCAGAGTCCCAATATATAGGTAGAAACACTCAGACACGTCAGAATTCCTCAAGGAAGTCTTGTTTGGCCAATAGGTTGATAATTGAGAGAGCAACACCTTCCAAGATGAATAAATGAATTTAATGAGATCCAAATCCTTAGCTAACTGATGGAGAACAAGTTTGAAACGGTTTATGAATTATATTGACACTTAGACTCGGTTTGGAAGGAGTATAAACACAAATTTGTACATAGTTTTGCACTCTATAAATATACTCTTTCCAAACTAAGCCTTAGCATTTCTAATAACTATCCCCACGGTATCACTGTGTCTCTTGGATGCATCATCAACATTGGTTTTAATCCAATCAGCTGGCAGAGCAACCCTACTCAACACTATACTTCTGTTACCTGTACTATACTTTCGGGAAGGTCACTACTACAATCTAGGATGTTTGCAAACTCTTTTCTGTCAAATATCAGCCTATTTCGGCTCTTCCAGACGAACCAGAATATTGTTTAAGGCCATTAGAGAATCAAAGGGGAGAGAGGAGGAATTTGTTTCTATAAGTCTATATCAATCTTGTGGAAGTAAGCACATCATTCTTGAAGTACGGTCTGGGTAAACCTCACTACACAAAGCATGCATGCTAGAACCGAACCAAACCGTCTGTGAAACCTTGCACTTGAAGAACAAGTTTCACTAAGTTCTCTTCCTCACATTTGCATGATGGCCATGGATTCGGTGGCTGGGATTCTGGTTTTCATAAGTCATAAACTTCAGATTCCAGAAAGTTTTCCACGTTATTCCATTGCAAGATGGTGAAGGTTGTGCTTCATTTAAGCATCAGTAACCTCATTTGGATGGAAACTTGCCATAAAGGGTGAGCATCCAAATAATTTTGATGGTGTCTGGTACTAGAGTCGTTTCTCCAAAGCATCCAAATAATTTTGCTCCGTCTCTCACTTTTTTTTTGTTTTGACCGAGTATTTTTAAACCATTTCAAGTAAAACTGGATGCTTCAGTTCTATAAAAGCCATTTTTGGAGTTGATATTTTTTGCAATGGAATCAATGCTTTTCTCCTTTTTGCCTACTAGTTTAAAGGTGGGTGCCATGCATGATGTACAAGCAAAAGATAAAGATATAATTTAACACCATATGATCAAATTTAACTTTTATGACCTGCATCAAAACCAAGGCGTATCTTCTTTATAATAGCAATTATATGACGCCTAATGCCACCAAATGACAATTTAAAATATGCATAGAATCTAGAGTGACTTTATTGAATTCCAAGGCGCGACCATAAACTACAACAATGATACCCAACACCACCTTTATCAACTGAGTGTAGAGGGAAGCTTTATGTTCAATATAAGGTTAGCTCTCAACCAACCTAGTGTCAAATGAATTAGGAACCTCCTCCTCCTCCAATCTCATTGTGTTAGTATCCATATTATAGGTCATGTGATTGGATCAGGCTCAGTCTGGGGATGGGGTATCAGTGATCTAAACCCAACCCCAACTAGAGTTTCAGGTCCTATGTCCAGCCAAGGGCCCAATCCCTGTAAACCAAGGCTGGCCTGACCAAGTTCATCTACCAGTGGATTGTAAACCCAAATTTGAACCAATTGAACTTGCCAATAGAGGCAACCTGGGTTTGACCAGTAATGAATTACTTTGAAAATATGGACGATGGCTAGGACTTCACTAACTCGAAATAATTTCACAAGTTGAACAAATAATTGAGGGTTTAATGGAAGCTTGGTCTAAAATAAGACAGGGCAATTTTTCCAATTTGTTAGCAACTGATCAATTGCTCCACCAGATTCACAAGTTGATTAGTACTTGCCAACATGACAACATGAAACATCTTTTAGTTCTTCAATGACCAGTACCTGAAGCCTAATTTTTCTCAAGGCTCGGTTTGGAAGGAGTACAAATACAAATATGTAGAGTGCAAAACCTCGTATTTTGTATGTATTTGTACAGTACATATTTGTTAATTTGCTTCTCATGTATGGTGGCAAAAATTAATTGGGCACAACATGAAAATGGAAAGCCAATAGCAAGAGATTGAATTCTTCAGGTTACGGCAATGGCATTGGAGATCAAATACGTTTTAACAGCTCAATCTTTTTCCCTTTTACCCAATTTCTGCAGAAACATGAAGAGAAGGGGAGAGGGGTTAGAGGATCAAGCAATATCAGAATTCCTCACTTTTTTCTGCTTTTATTATTTAGGACTTACAAGGGTCTCAGGAAGCCTCCTCCCTTTTATAATCTGCCACAATTAGGATGGAAATCACAACCTCATACACAGAAAACAAGACCTTTGCAATGTGATCACAAAGTACATCAAAGTTCCCTATTGAAGACTCATCAAAGTTCAACTTGGTATTACCATTGTGATACAAATTATGAAATGCATTGATATCAATAGGTTAGGTCCATAGCAGCAACAATACATCTCTCAATAACATAGCAATTCATGTGATGGATACCCCTGAAAGCTTTAAGCTACACATAAATATGCAACTGATGAAGCAACAATGAACCACGGCTTCAAGTAAGGATTTCCGTCAAGTACCAAAAGAATGCATGCAATGAACTATTGCATAGTGTCTCACTCCCTCTTCTCCTCATAATGAAGTTGACTATGTGCCAGGGTCTAGTTAAACCAGAGCTACCACATTGAAGAAATAACAACTGCTTTCATTTCCCTCAATAATTTCATATAGAACAGAGTCTTAAATGGTTTTCATGTATTCTATACAAAGATACAGCTTGAAACAATCCTCTTTATTCATCATATGATGCACCTCCTGTACAACTTACCTCTTGGTTTAAATGGTTCCTCTTGCAGGGACCAAGTTTTCCAAATTGTGAAACTAATGAACAGGAACCAACATTATATATTTTTATACAAAGGCTTGATGGAGAAATAGTCAACAATTATTGATATTTAAGATATTTAAGTTGACACAAAATTACAACATGAAAGAATTACATGTACTCTTCACATGCTTTCTCTCACTATCAACTCAGTCATCCAGGATTTAATACAAGTCATAAATTAAAAACAGAAGTAGTCAAAGGGCTCCAAATTTTCAGTTAATCTTCATCATTGGTGTCAAGAATTAATGAATATTCACACTAAACATTGGCTAAACCTGTTAAATCACAAGGTTATTGCATCCTGAAAAATTGATTGTGTTCCCTCTCTTATAAATGAGATCTTGCCTTCAACCAATAAATAGGGTAGCAATCTTGCATTGGATAAAAATTGACCACAGGGTACCATAGTTTTCATCTGATAAATAGATTAGGGAAATCAAGGTGTGTCCCTTCAATTCATTTCACAGAGTCATACATATCCCTAGCTATGTCACTCAAATGTAGAATTTAACCATACAAGCATCTCTTTTGGCGACTTTTTGAATTTTTACTTAATTCACTAATCAGTGAACTGTAAGTTGCAAAATTAGACACCAAACCTTTCTCACTACGTAGCTTATCAGAACCCATTGGGTCTCCATGTTTGCTATGCCCTTCCAAGAGAACGTTGTAGGTAACATCATCTGGAACAACCCCCAAATTAAGCATTGCATCATGGAGAATATTTGCAATTTTCATCTGCCCCTGTTTGCAGAGCCCATTCATAAGAACATTATAGGTCACAACACTTGGTACACGACCATTGCACTGCATCTCCTTAAGCAACTTAAAACCCATTTTAATGTCCCCCTTCTTACAAAATCCGTCAGTCATCATTGTATAAGTAGCATCATCTGGCATCATTCCTGCTTTTAACATTTCTCTCAATGTCCTTTCTGCATTAATCATTCGTCCTTCTTTACTCAATCCTTAAACAAGTGTTGTATATGTCACGTTATCAAGCTCAATCCCTCGGTTAATCATTCCCTTCCTTACCTCAATGGCAGATTCTAGATCTCCCTCCTTGCAACACCCATCAATAATGGTTGTATATGTGATCTTATCCGGTTTCAAACCCCTTTTCATCATCTCATCAACAAGCCTTCTCGCTTCCCTCAGATCACCAACCTTGCAAAGTCCATTAATGAGGGTATTGTAAGTAATTAAATCAGGCTTCACACTTTGCCCCAACATTTGCTGTTAAATTTCCATGGCCTCACTAATTCTCCCTTTCTTGCATTGCACATCTATCAAAGTTGTGAATGTAACATCATTTGGAACCAAACCTCTTTTGCACATTTTGCCAAATAAGTCGTTTGTTTCGTCCAATCTACTCTCTTTGCATAAACCATTAATCAAAACACTATAGGCTGTGTTTGGTATGAAGGAAAAGGCAGGGAAAGGAAGGGAAACATAGGGAAACCTTTACAAACCTTGTATAAGTTTCCCTGTCTTTCCCTTCCTTTCCCTACCTTTTCCTTCAAACCAAACATAGCCCATAAGTTACAACATCAGGAAAGATTCTTGTTTCTGACACTACCCTCTTAAGCCTAAATCCCTCCTCCAGATTCTCCATTTTGCAGTTTCCATTGATCAAAGTGTTAAAACTAACAACAGTCGGCTCAATCCTTCTTACTAATTTCATAAAAAATCAACCCAGCTTCCTTAATTTTACCCTCCCTACACAATGTATGCATCAAAATATTAAAAGTGTAAATGTTGGGCGGAAATCCACATTCAAAAATTTCCGAATAAAACGCCCAAGCTGCTGCAGGTGAATTGGACTTCATCAAGCGATCAAGAAGGTACCCGCAGGAATGAAATAGAATCCGAAATCCATGCTTCCTAACCAACCTAAAACACTGAATTGCGTTTGATATAAATCCAGAATCTGTATACGCATTCATCAGAGCATTAAATACCAAATTAGGTTCATGGGTACCTCTGGTTTCAAGAACTGATGCGAAAATGGATGATGTCGAGTCCTTCCCCTTACAAGAAACAACAAATTGAAGCAGTGATTGGCTGAGAGCATTCGGTGGCCGCATAAGTGATGGGCCATGGACAATAGGATTGAATGGTATGGTGAAAACCCTGTTTGAGGAGACATTCATCTGAAGAAGGAGAGAAGAGAAGATGGGCCGAGGGAGAAAGGGTTTTGGGTAGTCAGATCAACAACGTGGCGAGATGTGAGAGAAGGGACAAACCTCTTGAGAGAGGAATCGAGGGGCTTTGTTGGGGTATTCTTAATGACCTGAGAAATGGTTGTGAGAATTGGGTCTTGCTATTCTTGGTGGAAAGGTGGTGGTGATCCAGGTGGAGAAGAACACCAATTGAGGAGGAGAGAGAAGTGGGTGGCTTTTCGGGATTTTCAGAGTAGCCATCTGTTTCTTGCTTTAGACTGGTTCCTGAGTAATTTAAACTTCAAAGGTTAGTAGTGAAGATTTCGACAACCGTTTGCGCAGTACTCTATGCTGCCCAGGCCCTTGACAGAGGCTGGAGGGGAATCATCAAGTGGGAAACTGGGAAGTCGAACTTGGGTTTTGGCAAAATCTACGAGGGTCCGCTTGTTCGCAGTGGGAATCGGAATCGGAATCGGAATGTTCTATTCTCATTTCCCGGTCTGTTTGGTTCAGACAGAAAAAATTGAAATTAGAAAAAATGTGATTTCATTCTTAAGAGAAGGGGAAGGAATGGTCATTCCTTAAAATGGGGAATGCCATTCCACTCGGAATTGGAGATTCCGATTCTGTCCAACGAAACAGTTGGAATCAAATAACTCATTCCGGTTCTGATTGTAGATCCCTTCCGGTGAACCAAATGTGGCTTGAATGTTTTGGTTTTCATTTGTTTTTAAATTTGTCACATCAGCAGAAAATCACAAGCATGTTAATTTGACTGTGTTTTTGTTTTGAAGAGAAAAAATTATTTTAAAAATAATACATGTTTTATGAAATCATCAACATGATGGTTTAAAAAAAACAAATTTTGTAGTATATTTGTAAGTCTTTAAATGATATTTGAAAAAGACATAAATATCCTTCAAGTGTTATCTAATTTTTTTTATTAACCATTCAAATATTGACAAATAATTAACAGTCATAAACCCTTACCTCTTTTATTCAAGAAAGTTGAGGTCCAAAATGCTTAATGACCTCAACTTTCTTGAATAGAAGAACCTGGGAGATGATACCTAGAATTCCCATAAATCGGAAGAAAGAATGAATTTCTTGGCTTCCCCCTCTCAAAATTCAAAAATAGAATGCCCCTGAAGTGTCACCAAACTGGATATTGATTTTGCAGCAACTCTCATGCGTTAACATTATTTATCTTTAGTATTGAGCCACTTCACAACCTGAGGAATAAATCCAGCTTCACCCACTAATCACTTGGCGGCTGGTAACAGTGTTCGATTGCAGATTACAGCGGTGGGTTGAAGAAGAATGGACAATGAGGGAGAGAGAGAAAGAAGAAGAAGAAGATATGACTAGTTCTTTGAGTAGGGAGGATCATAGCATCCCACATCGGCTAGGAGTGAAATGTTGAGAAGATGTGACTAGTTATAAAATGGATTTGAGTCACACGGGTGAGATCATCTTTGCGCTTGGGGCAATGACGCAGCTAGTGAGGTTATAACCGAGGCGCGTCAATTGCTGGTTGAAAACTATTTCCAAACCCCCTCTTTGGCCTGGGTTTGGCCTTGGCCATTGAGAATTTCTGGAAGGGTTTCCTCCGGGGTAAAGCCCTACAATTTCATTTTCTCAAAAATTTAATTCTTACATTTAATCCTTTTTTTATCCTGTTAGGGTTGTCTTCGGCTTTGAAATTTACATTGTGTAAATGGGTATTTTGAAAATGCTCAAATTAGCCCTTCCAAACGATCTACTTCGATCTTGTACAAATGGCTGTTAGTAATTGTATTGTCTTTGATCTTTAATGAATTGTCTGATTTACTACGGAAAAAAACCAATAGAAAAGTCTGTTCGTTGGGTCGGTTTTAAAAATATTCAAATAGCCAAATTTACCCTGTTGCAATAAATTCTTCAAAGCAGCTAAACGCAAACAACCAATAATTTCATTTTAACTGGGTACAATGATCAAAATATAGATAAGCCCAATAATAAACTTTGGCATTGATATCATCGATGCTCAGTTTCTCTCTTTTTTTTTTTCTTTCTTTTTTACCTTTTTTATTTTATAAGCAATAAAGAGATGTCAATCATCACTCCAGAATTTTAAAACTTTTTTGTATGGGTATATCGATGCATATCTGGATACATTGTTATGGATAAGATTCATGATATATCATATCAATATTTTGATTCTTGAGTATTATTCGGTTTCGATTGAATAGGATTCAAGAGGTAAAAGATGGATTTGAATTTTACTCATTTACATTTTTGGATATTAGAATTGATAAAGTATCATTAAACCTATATAAAATTGCCATAAATATATAAAGTTAATTATAAAGCAAAAACTTAGGCTGTGTTTGGTTTGAAGGAAAAAGTAGGAAAAGGAAGGAAAGTGTAAATTATCTTGTATAAATTTTCCTACGTTTTCCTTTCTTTCCCTACTTTTTCTTTCAAACCAAACACAGTGTTAGGGTATAATAGCCTTTAAGAATCATAGGCTATAGAAAAGCCTCACCTCTCATTTCATCGGAGTTGAGGTCATAAATTAGGACATGGGGTCATAAAGTGGCATGCATGCTAAGCCAAGAGGGGTTGGGTGGTTCACAATTCATTTCATAGCATCTGCAAAAATATTACTATAAATGGGAAAACATTTATCTGAATTCCAAATTCAATTTAAATACTAAAACTTAATATCTATCTATATATATATATATTATATTTGATTCATAGCATCTGCAAAAATATCTATCTATCTATCTGGTTATGATCATCATATTTTAGATTTGATTCAAACTAAACAGATATTAAATCTGACTTAAACCAATAAAATTCAAATTCAAATATGATTAAATTCAATCCATTTAGAGTGCTAGCTAAGTATGAAGCTAAGCCTTCCAAATGGATCCTTATGCCTTAATTTCAAAAGTTGTTTGAGAAGTAGGGGTGCAACTTGGGCAGGTTGGGTTGGGTTTGTTTGAGGTCAGCTCAAGCCTAACACTTGGATGCAAACCTTTAGCTTGGGCCTAGTCCAACCCAAGGTCAAGCATGAGTTTACCAACCTAAGATTAACCTAGTACAACTCAAGCTAGGCTCAGGCTCAATTTGGGTTTTTTTGCAATTATTTTTTATTGGGCTTTATCGCTCAAACACACAGATATAATTTGACTATCATACCCAAAAGGCATGATACTAGAATAACTTATAACTAGGGGCGGAGACAAGTATATTGATGGGGGGTCCTTCCCCCCACCCCACCCAAAAAAAAAAAAACTTTTTGTTAAAACCATTATTTATATGGTTAATTAGTGAAGGTAAAAAACATAATAAAGTGGGTCCTTGCCCCCCCCCCCCCAAACTTGAACTAAAATTTATAGTCAGAACTGATTGTACATGTAGGTTGGTCCAGAAACCAATAAAACTCTGACAATCGGCTTTACATTTTAAATTATAAAAACCCCCACTATGTCATCGAAGGCTTATGTGGTTATTGCCAACATGGGGCTCTTAATCCATGTTGGACACAACAAAAAGTTTATACCGAAATTGTCCTTTAATGCTAGGTGATTTGAAAATAAAAAAGGTTTTTAGTTCTCTCCCTCCCTCTTCTCTCTACCTATCGTTCTCCCTCAATCTCTTTCATTCTCTTTCTCGATTGGTCTCTCCTTCTCCATCAATTGTACAATATTAATCAAACCGTATAAAAGAGCATGGGATCAACTTAGTATGGTTCTAAAAGCATTACACCAATTTGATAAAAATTCATAAGAAACTCTTGGCTATGAAATTTACACCAACTTAATAAAAATTATAACTTGATTGTAGAAGTGCTTGGTCCCTTTAGTTATTTTATATAGTTTGATTAATACTATATAAGTTTGTATAAAAAAAATAAAAAAGAACAAGAGAGGAAATTGGAGAAAGACCGAGGGAGAATGATAGAGAATGAGGGAGGAGATATCGACCGAGAAAGAGAATGAGAGAGATTAAGGGAGAATGATAGATTCACACACACAAACACACACACACACACACACACACAGAACATGAGAGAAATATAGGTTTTGATTTGGCTATAGACCGAAGTTGAGAGAGTGGGAGAGATAGAGGGAGTAGGAGTCTAGGAGATCGAGAGATGACTGTGAAAGTGAGAGAGAAGGGATGGAGATTGAGAGATAGAATGAGCGGGAGAGGAACTGAAAAAATATTTTTAGTATAGGCTTTTTGCTGTGTCCAATATGGATTAAGAGTCTCATGTTGTCAACAACCACATAAGCCTTTGATGACATGGTAGGGGTTTTTATAATTTGAAATGTAGAGGCGTTAGAGTTTTTTGGCTTTTGGACCAACCTACAACCTAATTTTAAATGTACAACCAGCTCTAACTATAATTTTCCCTTAAAAAATCTATAATGGACCTAAACCTTCTTAGGCCATTTTCCCATTTTCCCCAAACCCTACTCTTCTACTCTTCATCTCATTTCTTGTTTAAAGGTGGTAACCTTTAAAAAATCATAAAGGTGGTAACCTTTCAAGGTGGATTGTGGTCAAAATTCATGGGGATTTAATTGGTTAAAACCTTTCTAGTATCATGTCTTTCCGGCTTCATAGATTTTTCTTATTTTTATATAAAATAAAATGCTGTATCACCTTCTTCGGATGGGCGGGCCCAAACTACCCAAGCCCAATATGAGTTCAAGTCAAGTTTGAGTTTTCTGGCCTAGGTCCAGCTTGAAGCCCCAAAACTTAGGTTCAACTCTGCCCTATTGAATACCAGTTGATTTCAAGATTTCAAAAATGATTCCAAAATGACAAAAAAAAAAAAAACAAAAAGAACTATCTAACCATACTACTACGGGTATAAGTTGGGTTGAAGTCAACTCTAACCCAATCATAGTTTTGAACCCCTAACCCTAAACTTAACCCAATCCAACCTAGTAAACCCTAACCCTAATCCAACCTAAATTCCTCAACTGTAATCCAACTCAACCCAACCTGAAGTTGACTTCAAGCTGACTTGGCTGGACACTTTCTCTCATATTCTTTTAAAATGTTGTAAAATCTCTCACATTCTCTTTCTCATAAACTAAAACATCTAACCAGAACTTTGATGACTATATGATGACCATATTTTTTTATTAGTACAAAGTACCTACTCAGATTTCATGACCATATTTTCCATTTTATACGAATCATGCATCCACAGGTTTAAATTTCATACACCAATAATTCAAAATTCTGTTAATGAAAGACGAAGGTGCAAACCAACACACTAAGGTACAATACACCACGGATGATGGGTCAATTCCACCAACAAACAAACAAGGTTTTACAGCCCCATCCGAAGCTTCATCGCTGATCACCAACCAGCTAGAACATACTACTGCATGGCTCCCATACAAATACAACAATTTTGATGGCTTGCTCCCAACCGCCCGATCGATCGAACACATCATGGTAGGCCCATTTGGAAAGTAAAC